CTCTCATGGGAATTCGGGGTGAATTCCCACACCCCTCACCCCACAAGAAGGCAGAACCCCTCCCTCTGCTTCATGCTTCAGTGGACTAGCGATGTTAATTATGTTTTTTTCACACAAGCATTCACACACATGACACATCCATGCATTTATTCACACACACACACACTCAAAATTCACCCTCTCGGTCACACACACACATTCACACTCACACACACACAGCCTGACACACACGCAAACCGCCTCTTCTGTGCACTTGGCTGGAGAGGTGACACGGAAAAGACCACACACACACACACACACACACACACACGGAACGGCGGCTCCTGGGACACTCAGTGTTTAAGAGCTATGGGGACAGTGCTGTTTGCTTTGCCAAAACACCACTGCAGGTGACACTCATGTCCACCCTCGGTTCTTTCAAGCCTCCCAGAGGCGCTGCAGAAGAAAGGGATGGCAATCGCTGTCCAAAAACTAGCCTCTGAAAACCCTGTAGGGGTCACTTCTCTAACACACAAGGCTACCCGGAATCAGAGTGGACCGTACAGAGCTGGGTCTTGAGGGCCCCATCCCACAAAGCTGCTTGTCCACATCTCCTCATTCAACCTTCACGGCGATCCGCAGAGCAAATGACACTTCTCCCCATTCCCCAGAGGGAGAAACAGACTCAGCAACTGGCCCCCACACTGCCAAAACCTCCAGCCCGAGGCCTATCAAAGGAAAGAAGCTTAATGCTGCCCTGGCGTTGGACTCCGGCTGCCCAGCAGTGTACCCTCCCGTGAGGGTCGTCGGCACCCCTCCTACTGCCCCCTTGCCTGGCCAGTACAGGAACCTGGAATAGGGCCAGAAACCACTTTCTGAGCTGGCTGTGGGGTCCTCAATCTGTCCGCAGAGCCTTAGATTAACCAGAGGGAGCCCTGGCCCCAGTGGGGAGCCACCCTGGGGCTCCTGCCGTCACTGTGGGTGGATGCCTGGAAGGAGCTGGGGGAGGGGCAGAGTCCCAAGCTCTGACCCCCACCCCCACTGGAGACGCTCTTCCCCCCTGGGCCCCTTCTGTCTGTCAGCCAAGTGGCCTCTAAAGGCAACTTTGGGCTGGGCTCCCGGAACCACGTTAATAAGGGGCTTTCTAGCCAGACAAGGTAGCCTCAGGGGCACTGGGACAGGGTGTCCAGTCTCTGCCAAGAGAAGGGACAGACAAAAACCAGAAATAAACAAGGTCCACTGAAGAGATGGGGCAGAGAAAGGTCATTTCCAGTCACCTCCAGGAAGCTCTCCTGGATCTCCCCAGTGCAGGGGTCTCCGTGGAGCTCTAGAATGAACTAAACAGTGTCTTTGCCCGTCCCCAGCCAGACTGCAAACTTCTGGACCCAGGCCGGCCCCTGCATTCACTGGCCTTCCAGGAGTTTCCAGGAGTTCTCACTGGTGGTGGAGCAGTGGTGGAGACTGAGCCCCAGAGGGCTGCAAAACCTTCTGCTGGAAGGAGAGGGAGGAGAGAGAGGGGAAGAGGAGGGAAGAAGGGAGAGGAGGGAGCAAAGGAGCAAGGGAGGGGAGGAAGGCAGGAGGAAGAGGAGGGGTGGAAGGAAACCAGGAGAGAGGGAGGAGGAGGGAGTGAAGAGGGAGGAAGGTAAGGAAGGAGGGAGGAAGAGGAGGGGAGGGAGAGAAAGGGAAATGAAAGGGGTCAAAGGAGGAGGTGAGGGAGGGAGGGAAGGAAGGGGGGAAGGGGAAGAGGTAGGAGAGCTGGAGAGGAAAAGAAGAAGGGAAAGGAGAGGGGTCAAGGAAGGAGGGGAAGGGAGGGAGGGAGAGAACGGGGAAAAGGAAGTGAGAGAGAAGGGAGGGACAGAAAGGGGGAAGGAGGGGGACAGAAAGAAGGAAAGGAGGGGGGACAGTAGGAGGCAGGTGGGAGGGACAGAAGGGGGAAGGGGAGGGGACAGAGAGGGAAGGAGGGGGACTGAGGGGGAAGGGGAGGGGACAGAGGGGGAAGGAGGGGGACTGAGGGGGAAGGAGGGGGACTGAGGGGGAAGGAGGGGGACTGAGGGGGAAGGGGAGGGGACAGAGGGGGAAGGAGGGGGACTGAGGGGGAAGGAGGGGGACTGAGAGGGAAGGGGAGGGGACAGAGGGGGAAGGAGGGGGACTGAGAGGGAAGGAGGGGGACTGAGGGGGAAGGGGAGGGGACAGAGGGGAAGGAGGGGGACTGAGGGGGATGGGGAGGGAACAGAAGGGGGAAGGTGTGAAGGAAGGGGAGGGAGAGAAAGGGAAAGGAGGGGGTTAAGGGAGGTGGAAAGAGAGAGGGAGGGAGGGGACTTGGGCGGGAGAAAGAGGGAAGGGGGAAAAGGAGGAAGACAGGAAGAGGGGAGGCAAGGAGGGAGGCAGAGGGAGGATGAGAAGGAGGGAGGGGTGAAAGGAGAGTGGCCAGGCCAGACCCCCCATGGGCCCGTCCCTCATAGCTAAGGCCAGTCTTCCTCAGGGTCAGGCAAGTGGATTCCACCGTCCCCACTGCACCCACTGTGCTCTGAAGCCATCAGCTCAGGAGGACCCTGCAGGGCTCCAGGCTCAGGGTGCAGATGGAGGCAGTCATTTCCCCCCTGTCCCTGTCTCTCAGTAGAGGTTGAAGGTCATAAGCGGTGGGATCCTGTCCTGCCATGTCCCTCTACCCATCCAGCAAAGTCTGGGACCCAGGAAGCGGGGACGGTGGTCCCCAGGGAGGAGCTGGAGGAGACAGGACCAGACTGGACATGAAGGCACAGCATCAGCTGTACTCTGGGGTGGAGTTGTGGAGAGGCCAGAAATACCCCCAGGGCGGGGTGGAGGGAACAGCCCTGGACTGCACCATCAGAGAAAGTACTTAGAGTCTCCGCAAGAGGGGAAAACGCCTGACCAGGGCCACTGCTGGGTGGTCACAGTCTCTCGGGAAGTGACCACCACGCCAACACCTCCAGGCACGGAAATCTGGGCCAGACCGAGCGGGGGTGGGTCCCGGGTCCTCCCACTGTGCTTTTGGGGGAGGTGGAGGAGAGGGGTGTCTTTCCAGCCAACTCCATTGAGTCAGAGGAAAGTTAACCATTTGATATTTGTCAAGCCCCACAGAACTTGGCCCATGCTTCCCACAAATTCTTGCAAAAAAGCTGTCACGTGGCTGGCATGCACCAATGGGGTGCTGAAGAGATGACCTCAATTTCCAAATATCGGGGTCATGTTTCACTTCGCATACTCTCCCTCCCCCAGGCCGATGAACGGCCCCAGATGAAATGGAACTGCCCGGTCTTTCACAGACTCGGCCAAGACAGGGAGAGGGCCGTGTTCACAGAACACTCGAAAAACATCTGGCCAGTCCTGAGATGGAGGGACCTCCCTGTTCCTCTGAGATCCCATTGGGCTGGCAGCTGCCCCACTGACCACGCACTGCGGGTGACCTCAAGGAGGGACCCACCCTGGGAGAGGTGGACAGAGGCTCGCGGCTGCTCAGGAAAAGTGGCTTCCTCATGCCCTGCCATGAAGTCAGATTTGACAAAAGCGGAATGTCCCAACTCGGGGACCTGGCAAGGCAGCCCACACCTGTGCCACCCCAACCTGCCGCTCAGGGGCCCAAGAAGAGGGAACCCCACATCGGAAAACTCAGTTCTGGAGGGACTCAGGAGACAAATGGTGCAGGGGCCAGGGGTAGAGTCAGATGAGCAAAACCATTAAGATTCTTGAAAATTCATATCTGGATGCCCAGTCCTAGTACTGGCTTTGCCCTGAAGGGGACAGGTGCCCTGGGAGACTGCTCAGAGGACAACCTGGGGCAGGCCTGGGCAAGAAGGGCCAGCATGGTGGCTGGTCCCCAGAGCACATCCTCTTCCGCCCCACCTTCCCACCACTCTTCAGAGACCTGGAGTGTCCAGAGCATGACCTGCTGCCTGGTGACAGACACATAGGGCCATTCTGTGCAGGTCACAGGGGTAAGGACTGAGCCAGGCTCCTGGTCATCTCCCAGGGGCACCCACTCCAAGCCTCCTGGCCCTCCTGAGTCCACCAAGCATTAACAGTGGCAAAAGAAAAAAAAAACTCATGAGAGTTTCGTGGATGTAAGTGGGAGGAGGCACACTGATCCCACACGCCTCAAATGTCAAGGCGGAAAGAGAAAGGGGACATGTCATTGGGAGACACGCAGCTGGCCCGTCTTTCTCCATAACAGGTGACAAGCTTAGCTGAACCTTCATCTGCCCATCCATCTGTGGGGTGAGCCTCAGCTGCAACCACAGTCCCATCAAGATGTGGAGAGACTGGGGCTTCACCGCTCAACGGGGTGGAGCCTCCCACAGGCAGGTCCCTGGCAGGAGGGCCTCCACAGCTGCACGCCATCCACCCCACTCCCTGGATTATCTGGGTAGTTTAGGCGAGAGCCTCATCTCTGGCAGGGAAGCTGTCTCCCAGGGGCTGGGAGGTCTGGGGTGGGGTGAGCAGCAGCTCTACCAACTCTCCATGGCTCCCCAGTGCCCCAGAACACTGGAAAGAAGCCGGCCTATTGGAAGTGTTGCAACTCAGTGGGAGAGGGCAAGTCCAGGATGGGGAGGGGGGGGGGCCTGTGGTCCCCGCACCGCCTGCCTGGCCGGAGCCAAAAGACTGCGGCTCTAGGGGGCGGCCCTGCCCGGGCTGGGAGAGGAAGTTCTGCGGCCAGGCTGCGTGGGCCCCGGGCTAGGCGCCTGTGCTTCAGCCGCCAACACAGGGTCTCTGGGAAAAGTTGGCTGGCCTCGCGGACGAGCTCCGTGTTCGCTACAACCGACTGCATCTTTTCCCCTGGAACGACAGCCCCAAGCCGTGGACCAGGCTGGGGAGGGGGCGGCGGTGGCTGCGGCATTGTGTCGGCGTCTCCCCCTCGGGGCCCCCAGCGAATGGCATTCCCAGCCTCGCCGCGCATTCCAGAAGCGCAGGGCGAAAGTTGTGCACGCGGCTCCGGAGGCGCCGGCGCCCGGATGACAGCGCGCCCGGGCGGCCGGAGGTGGCCAGCCCCGCGCGGACCTCACCTGCGTGGCTCGGGGGCGGCGCCCACAGCAGCAGCAGCGGCAGCAGCAGCAGCGGCGACAGCGGGGCGCCCGGGCGGCGCGCTTTCCAGCGGGTGTGGACGTCCATGCCGGCGGGGCGCGCGGAGCGCACGCGGCGCGGGGCGCGGGGGCGCGGGGGGCTCCCGGACAGCAACTCGACGGGGACGCCCAACTCTAGGAAGTCATGGGCGCCCGTGCCGGCTCTCTGTCCTTTGTGGCGGCGGCTGTCCCGGAGGGAGGCTGGCCTGGCGCGCGGGGAGCCCGGGACCCTTCGGCGCCCGCTCGCTCTTTCCTCGGAGCAGCTCCGCCGCCTCTCCGCCCCGCGACCGCTCCCGTGGGCGCTGACTCCGGAGTCGTGCGCCAGCCGCGGGGACAGGACTGCGCACTGGCCCGGGCGCTCGGTACTTTACCCCGTTCGTCCCTCCTCTGCGCTGGCAAGCCCCCAGCAGCTGTCGCTCCCCGGCGCCCGCAGCGAATCAGAGGCCAGGCTGCGCGCGGCCGGCCCGGCCCCTGCCTCCCACTGGGCGCCGGGCTCGGGGCGGGCCGAGGGGAAGGGCCGGCCTTTCTCGGGGAGTACGGGCCAAGGCGGCCCACAGCCCCGCGTCCTCTTTCCCAGCCCACCCCCCGCCCCACCCTGGTGCTGATACCTGGCCCATCTCCAGGGGGCAGTGCGGATGACCCGAAACTTGACAACTTTTGAGTTTTAAAAAGTGGAATGCCAGATGGCCCCGCCTAACTTTTTCTAGAAAGTGAAGCCTGAGCTCCCCATCTGGGTGGGGACTGAACTTCAAATCCAACCAGATGGGGCGCCCAAGATTGGCCAGCAGATCCAGAGAGAGGACACCCATACACACCCCTAGCTTCAGTTGCCCTGGGTCAGTCAGGATCTGGCTGGCCAGGAGATTCCCCCCAAAACCCCTGATAGGGTAGCCCGTCTGGGGTGCTGATGGGGCCGAGTTCTGCCTCCCCAGCCCCCCACTGCCCGCCCCTCCCTCACACTCCTAGAGGACTCCCCCCTCCAAAAGCCCAATAGAAAGCCAGGGACTATCCCTGCAGAGCTGAAGAAGGGGGGGTGGCATGAGAGACACCCCCTGGGGCGCTGGGGAGTAGCTTTCTCTGCTGTAAGTCTCCCTCCAGGTACCTACTAAACACATCCAGACACACCAGGACCACCGCAGAGGGGGCATTTCCTAGCTACTCAGGCCTGGGAGGCCTCCCCAGACGCCTATCTCTGTGGGTGACTCACACATCTTTTCAGAGGACTGCAGGGCTGGATCATAAAGAGAGAATTCCTGGGACTTAAGATGCCTTTCAAGCCCTAAGCCGTCTCCACCCCCTATGTACAAACAATCTCCTCTGATGCCTCCAGAACTGGACCCCTTGTTCCATGGCTCCAGTCTCAGCTCCAGGCCAGACATGAAATTCCCCAAGTGCACTGCCTTCCCGGGTCTGGATGGAGGTGAGGTCCAGCTTCTTGCTGCCGGCAGGACCAGGCCCCACAGGTGAGGAGGTGAGAGGCAGCCATGTAGCCAGCTCAGCCAGCTTCACCCCTGACAAACACCCTGGGTGCAGGCCAAGCAGGAGAAAGAGAAGCGGGCTCTCTGCAGGGACACAGGAAGACACATGAACGTGTCTAAAACAAAACCTCCTTCCCACCTTTTGTGCTTCTTTATTGGAAATTCTCTGTGCTTGTAATAACCACATATGTGATTAAGCAGTGTGTATGTGTGTGTGCGTGCACATGCATGCTATCTGTATCTGTGTTTGCGGGTGGGTATAAGTGTGCACATAGTCTGTTTAGGTGTGTGTTTCTAGGTATGTACGTGTGCATACCTGTATGTGGGCTTCTGTGTCTATCTGTATGCATATGTGTACAACTGTGTATGTGTGAATATGTACATCTATGTGTGTAACTAGAACAATAGGAACCAAACAAAAGGAAGAAATGCCAAAATAAAATTCAGGAAACATCACGAGGGGCTGGAGGGAGTGCATGGAGTCACTCTCTCAAAAAGCAGTGGCTGCATGGAACCATTTCTGGAAGCAGCGTCTGACTAAGAGCCGACAGTGGTGAAGAAGTTCAAGCTGTGCAGCGCTGGCAAAAATAAGGCCCCAGCAAGTGACGAGATACCAACCGAAATATTCCATCAAACAGATACAGCCTTCAACATGCCCAGAGTCTGTGCCAGGAAATCTGGAGGGCAGCTGCCTGGTCAACTGACTGGAAGACAGTCACATTTGTTGCTATTCCCAAAAGAAAGGTGAGCCAACAGAATGTAGAAACTATGGAATGATTAATCATATTAATATCACATGTAAGCAAAATCATGCTGAAGACTTAAAAATGGTTAGAAGAGAAATTCAAACTAGGTTTGGAAGAGACCATGGCACAAAGGATATCATTATTGACATCAGATTGATCTTAGCTGAAAGCAGAGAGGCCAGAAGGATGTCTATTTGTGGTTTTGGTTTTGGTTCTGGGTGTGTGTGTGTGTGTGTGTGTGTGTGTGTGTTACGGACTACGCAAAGGCATTTGATGGTATGGATCACACGAATTGGGGCTAACCTTGAGAAGAATGGGAATCTTAGAGCACTTAATTGTGCTCATGTAAAACCTAGACCTAGACCTAGACCGGAAAGCTGTTGTCTGAAGAGAGCACGGGAACACTGCGTGCTTTACTATAAAGGTATGCCCCAGGGCTGCTGTGTTTTTCCATATCTAGTCAATCTGTATGCTGATCAAATCATGTGAGACGCCAGACTTTATGAAGAAATATGTGGGATCAGGGTCTGCGTTCTGCAGATGACACGCCTCGCTCACTGACACTGAGGAGGACTTGAAACGCTTGCAGCGGAAGATGAAAGACTGCAGCCTTTGACATGGATTACATCTCAACATCAAGGAAACAGAAACCCTCACCACTGGTCAACAGGCAACATCACAGAGGGAGAACAGACTGAAGTTGTCAAGGATTTCATCTAACTTGAATCTACAACCAACACCCTTGGATGCAGCAGAAATAAAAAAAAAAACGTGTTGTAAGTGGGGGGGGGAAGGGGTGAAGGAAATGAGAAGATTCACCTGGGACCTGAAAAGATAGGATAACGATAGGCATAGTCTGATGGTGATTAATGGTATAAGACGTAATACATGGGAATAGTTGTATGAAACACCAAGTGTGTGAAGAATGGTTTGAAATGCCATGTATACGAACTTTGTAAGCAAACCAACATAAAATAAAAAATTTAATAACCCAAATGGTATAAGGAAATTCTGCTGTCAGAGACCTTTCCAAAGTGCTGAGGACCAAGAGCATCATTTAAAGACAAAGGTGCGCCTGACCCAAGCCGTGGTCTTTTTGATTACTGTGCATCTGAACAATGACTAAGGATGACAGGAGAATTGGAGGTTTGTGTCGTGGTGCCGGGGAAGAGTACTGAACATACCACGGGCTCCCAAAAGAACAAACAAGTCTGTCTTGAAGAAGGGGCGTCCAGGCTGCTCCTTGGAAGCAAGGACGGTGAAGCTCTATCTCACACACTTTGGGCATGTTGTTAGGAGGGGCTGGTCCTTGGAGAAGGACGTCATACCTCTTTGCAGTTCAAACATGTAGACCCTACCTTTCTTTGCTTTTCTTCTCATGTTGATCAGGGAGATGCCTTCTGTTCTCAGTTTCAGCCTCACCTGGTCCTGGAGGGTCTGGAGCTGGACAGCAGGTTGTCCCAACGGCCCTGCCCCCATCCCAGAGGAGCTGAGGGGCTGACTGTCCCATAGGTCCTGTCCTCATCCCAGAGGGGCTGATGGGCTGACTGACCCACCGGCCCTGCCCTCACCTTCTGGGCACTGACATGGATTGGCACCCTGGTTGTCAGAGGACAGTGCCCTCTTTCCAGTTCCAGCCTCAGGAATGTTGTTCTCCGACAGTCACACGTGTCCTCTGCTCTGCTGACACCTGTAATTTTACACCTGTAAGATCTGCACTTTCACCAGGGGTAACACTGCAGGTCAGTCACTCATGAGTGAAAGTCAAATGGTCATTACAGGGTCCCCTGGCGTGGACGTCTTAGCCATGACCAAGTGCTCAAGCACAAGGTAGGTGATACAGTTTGTCCTCTCCCGGAGGGCAACGAGGGCCCTACCTGGCCACACTGACGACGTGGCCCCACCATCATGCGAGTCAAGTTCCGCCTCCATCAGACTCAGAGGACAGTCCCTGGACGAAGCTGTCTGAACTTTCAGCCCAGGGCCTCCGGACTGGTCAGCAGTGAGTACTCCACTGAGACTACAGGGGTGAAGACAAGAGTCTTCCAATGCTGGGCACAGTCCCAGCACTGGCACGAAATTCTCTCCCTCCTCCCGCAGGGATGAGCAAAGTGGGATTCTGCACAGAAAGAGTCCCTCCTGTGTCCCTGCCTCCTGGTAGAGGCAGGATTAGAACCCGGGACTCTCTGCTAGCACACACTTCACGGATGTCCATCTTGACCAAATGCCAATGGAAACCCTGCTCTTGATGGTTCACACAGCCATGCCTGGCAGAGACGGCCTCAGAACCCAGCTGTCCACACAAGTTAAAATGCAGAACTCCTTACACGGTGCTGACGGTCCTTCCCTGCACACACCACCCCAGGACTGGGGACATGAGGGTCCTTCCATGCTGGCCAGGAATACACTAGAATGGTTTCAAAGTTGGGGGGCTGCAGGTTTGCAACCAGACTTGAGACAACGTCCAAAGTGGAGGCTCCAGGGAAGCTCCGCTCAAAATGAGCAAAGAAGCGCCCAGAGTGCCTGGGAACAGAGGCCGTGGGGGTGGCCAAGAAGGTGGCACTGATACAAGCCCAGTCTCCCTGCACAGGCCTCCTCATCCCTGGCTGGCACCTCACAGCCTGGCTGTTCCCATGTCTCTGTTTCCTAGACCTCGGCGCTCCCACCAGGTGTCCAGGAAACCCTCAACCAGATAGATAATGGGACTTCCAGGCAACAGCAAGCAGCGGGCAAGAAGCTCTGGCTCCAGACACACACAAGCTGACCTTACCCTGGACCCGACGGTGGGGTGTCACCGCACGTTACCCAGACGGCTGGGGCCTGAC